ATTGTAACTACCCTCCAGGCAAGAGGGTTTTTTTGTTTTGTTTTTGTTTTTTAATCATCTATGCATACATCTGTATTTTCTCAGTTAGTGGATTTACTGCTCTCTTGCAATGTTGTAACTTCAATGAAAGTTCCTCATAATAGAAAATTTTGGAAACTAGTCCTATAGTTCTATGCTTTCAAGGAGATACTGATTTCTCTAGAAAGGTCATACGATGCTCCAGGAGTAATTAGCACAATTGTGAAAGTTATGTACGCCATGCAACATGTCTCCCACCTGTAAGTCTAAATCCACATGAAGCTGACCACACAGGCCGAGTGAGACCAACTGATAGGCATTTTCAGAAACTTCCCTGCACATAGAGACAGTGTTGGCCAGTCTACATCATGGTCTCTATCAAAATTGTGTTCCTGAAACTAAACTCAGTTTGCTTTCATTTAAAGAGTGAAAACTGATTCACACCACACTTAAAAAAATTTTTTTAATGTTTATTTATTTTTGAGAGAGAGACAGAGAGAATGGGGGAGGGGCAGAGTGAGAGAGAGACGCACAGAATCTGAAGCAGGCTCCAGGCTCTGAGCTGTCAGCACAGAGCCTGACGCAGGGCTTGAACTCACAGGCTGCAAGATCATGACCTGAGTAGATGTGAGAGGCTTAACCAACTGAGTCACCCAGGCACCCCCACCCCCACATTTTTAAGAGCTCTGAGTTTGGGGACTTTTCCTGTCCTCAGTTTCCACCACTTGCCTTTGTGAATCCAAAGCCACTTTGACATATCCTTGACTCAATCCTATATTAACAATAAAGGAGAAATGTTCATGAAGAGGAAATATAACAAAGGAGGGACTTTCCTACAGGGTCTTTGAAAAAAAAAAAAAAGGACATTTGCATAAACCGTATTTAACCAGAACCTTTGTTTTATGTTTTTCCTTTCTGAATGCTTTGTTGCACTCCCTCACAGTTCCCCTCCCTGTCCCTCGACCCCAGCTAGTCAGAGACCAAAGCCTTGACAATGTTTCACACTGGAATCTTCCTGGCCCCACCCTAATCATCACGCCTGAATAATCACAGTTTCTGACTTGTCTCCCTGCTTCCGTTTCTCTCCATTCTTAAACACTTGGACATGTTAATCTTCCCAGAATATCACTGTGATCCCATCCTTCTCTTGCTCAAGGATTCCCAGAAGCTACAGAATAAACTTTGCAAGCTTTCATCGGAAATTTAAAGCTGTTCTATGCCTTTTTCATTGCTGGTTCCTTCTAAGCCCTTAAAATCTATCTGACATCTCTACTTCAATACTTTTGTCTTGGATGCTTAACTCACCTTCTGGTTCCTAATTAGACCTCATTCAGGGTCTAATTCTATCTATCAATTCTGCCACCCTTTGCCATGTGGTCCCTCTGTCCTCTGAACCACGACCTCTCTGGCTTGCACTCTTCAGCAGGCCATCGCACATGCTGCCTCGACTTCCAGGTACACGTCTTTTTCCTTCCACCTCTAGACACCGGGCCCTTCAGGGCAGGGCTCTGCCCCATGTGTCCACATTTCTTGTAATGTTCTTCCACCTTAGAACTCCATCAAGAAGAGGCAGTTTTCTCCTGATAGGATATGGTTTTGGATATCAGGTAAGATAATTGGGTGACAACTAACTTTAAGAAAATTAACTTTAAAAAAAATCCCTTACCCTACTATTATGATAATAATCATCATGACAACCACTGCTATCACAGCTATTAGTGCTGGAAACACTACCATCGATCTGTTGCTTGGACAAAGCTTCAACCAAGATACCGAGTAAAGTTTAGTTCCAATTAACCTTTCAGGGTCACACAGGGAAGGCTGTGAGAGACCCCACTAGATAAGACAAGACTGCCAAGGCCAAAGGGAAGTGAAAATCTCATTATTTCTGCTAATAATTTCCCTGTTTTTTGTTGTGGGCTATGGGTTGTTTCAGTTCTAATGACTTTTCTTAACCTCAACGGAGCATGTAAACAGAGGGAAAAATCAAATCATTAGAGTCAAGACAGGGAAATTTTCAGAGAACTTTGGCGAAAAGGCAAAATGAAGATACATACAGTCGGCTGGCAGAGAATAGGATCTTTGAGGGGGAAGAGCATAGACATCTAAAGGATAACTTTATTAATTTTCCAAAGTATGATTTAGATACGAAGCCTCTTACCTGACCCATCTGTTTCTCATTAAATCATGGAGCTAGTCTGCTTCAGACTGTGCCAAAGCACTGAGGAGGTCAAGGGGTGAAAACTAGGGCATATAAGGGAAGTGTGTGACACTCGGGTGATAGATTTTTCATATTAAGCTAAGGTCATAAAATTAAGTATCCATTTAATGAAGTCTTTCTGTAGGAAACGAAATTGTTATAGCCCAGGCTCAATGAGCTCTGGTGAACAAATCCAGAGGAATGGATAATTCTGTGTGCCTTGGACTCTTGTCAATTTCATAAAGGCTGGTATTCTGGATTTATAAGAGAAAGGGGTTATTTCATTGAATCTGGGGCACAGCTGTGTGAGGAAGATGATGGTAGCCCCATTTCATAAATAAACCAGAAATTCAGAGAGGTTAATGACTTGCAGGGTCACACCACAGAGGCAGAGGCAGGGTCCCCACTGAGTGGGACGGACTCCCCAACCCACGCCCGTCTATGTCGCTGTAGTAAGCGTTCAGGTAGCAGAGCTGAGCTGTTGTGAAATCCTGAGCCCTGGGTTCCTAAATGAAGGACCCTGTGGTTTCTAACCTCAAGACAAGTTCTCCTACCTGCTTCTGCTCAGCGCCTTGCATGAGATCCAGAATCCTACGCCAAGAAAGCATGACAGGCAAGATTTGAGTGGAAAACAGTCTCTATTTAAGGTTCAGTTCGGAAAACAATATCATATCTGACTCAATCACTCAATAACCGTGCAAGGTTAACAAAGCATCTTTCATCCTTATGTTATAGGTAAGGAAATAGGAAACTAAGTCTCAGCGAGGTTAAGCTCCAGGTTTTTGGAGGAATTTATCTTATGAACACTTGTTTATTTTCTTATGAGTGTTGTGAATCTTTGGTTAAGGAAAATAGCTTGACATAATTCCTAAGATCACAAAGTAGCCTTAGGGCTTACATAAAGCCCCGTGTTTTTAAGTCTATGCACATCTTATACCCAAGAAGTAATCACATGTGGGCTCTTTGATCCTGATGTCTTAGATGAAAAAGACCTTGCAATCAGGGCTGCCGGTGAAAGTGTGCAGGTTGGGCACTGTACATCTAAGGGATGTATCTTAAGCTACATGAATGTGAATGGTATAGCCTGGATTAATAGTGTACAACATGGAGAAGTTTTTGCAACAGCCCATGTTGTAAAGCAGAGTCTGAGATGGATTTGAGGAAGGAAAACATAATCAGCACCAAAAAATCATTCTCATAGCATGTACAAATATGTATGAAAGTGCTATTGGCAATGGGCAGAAAAGTATTTCCAACTAGTTTTTACCAAGCCCCTGGTCTCTTACAAGAAGTTTGCCCTTGACATTTGATGAGAAACATGCCGTGGAGAGAGGTTTTGCTGCAGCATATATCAACAGGACACCGTGTGCTTTTTCTGATATATGTGAACACACCTTTACTGAATGTCAAGTAGCAGGCTCGACTGTGCAGGGATGTGACACAATTTCTGCCTTTAAGGAGGGTAGGATTCCACTGGGAGAAAACATACCATGAGAAATTTTTAAATAACAGACTAGGTAACATTATTTATTTATTATTTTTTAAAAAAACTGTTTATTTCTTTTGAGAACAAGACAGGGAATGCAGGAGAACCAAAGGAGAGCAAGAGAGAGAGTCCCGAGCAGGCTCTGAGACGCAGTCCAGACCCCAACACGGGGCTCAGTCTCACAAGCATGACATCATGATCTGAGCTAATAACAAGAGTTAGACGCTTAACCAACAGACACCCAGCCGTCCCATGGTAACAAGAAGACTACAAAATTGCATGTTTTTTTTTTTAAAAAAAATACTAATTTAAGTACAAAACATAGGCTAATCTTACAGCAGGAGCCCACAATTTGGACAAGGTGTGGCAGGACTAGTTTGAAAGAAATGGGGGGAGGGGCTGCTTGAGATGGACCCTAAACAATAAAGAGACTCTCAGCAGACAGGTAAGAGGATTCTGTGTCTACTTGTTTTAACTCTTCCATATACCTTCCAAGAGATGTTACCTGCAGCTAGCATTCTGGTGATGTTTCTTTATTAACAATATAGTGGTCATTTAAAAAAAAAAAAAAGCACTGAGTACAAGCTTTCCCCTGGATCTAATAAAATGAGTAAAGTAAAAACCAAAAAAGTAAAAAGTAACCCCCCAAACCCAAAAAAGCAAAAAACCAGTGCAGGTTATCTCTCTCTCTTCTCTCTTTTTGTTTCGTGTGCACAAGATGCTATGTGTGGAAGAGGAGATGATGGCCGAAGAAGGTGGGGAGTCTGGAGGCAGTTAACTAGGATGATGGCCTCCGTTTATAGCCTCAAGCTATTGTGCAAGCAGAAGGGCTTTTCTTTTCTTTTCTTTTCTTTTTTAATGTTTTTTTTTTTTATTTATTTCTAGGAGAGAGAGAGAGAGACACAGCGTGAGCAGGGGAGGGTCAGAGAGAGAGGGAGTCACGGACCGAAACAGGCTCCAGGCTCTGAGCTGGCAGTCAGCACAGAGCCCGACGCGGGGCTCGAACCCACGAACCGCAAGATCATGACCTAAGCGAAAGTCAGACGCTTAACCGACTAAGCCACCCAGGCGCCCCGCAGAAGGGCTTTTCTGTTTGAGGCGGAACCTCACTACTTTGCTGCAGTTGAAAAGCAAGGACAGCATCAATTTTATGAACTCATGTCTAAGAATGTACCCCTACGGGAGATTGGGGGGCAGGGGAGATAAAATGTGATCTGCATCAAAACAGAGTCTGCAGGTGCACATGTATCAAATTTCAGGTACAGTACTAAGGTGGAACTGGAAATAGTCAAGACAGAGAGCAAAATAGAACATCTTTAAATTCCACACAGTCTTCTCCCCCTATGATCTCGTTTCTCCACAAAAAAGAGAATAACAGAGTGTGCTATATAAACCACAAGGGTGGGCAGGGGTGCAGGGGTGAGGCAGGGGCACAAAGGGAGCAGAGATTGCTGCTGGTTCCACAGAAATCTTTCCAGATGCACTGAGAGAGACACATCTGTTTTCAATGCAGGAGACACCGCCATGTGATAACTTTTCAGGGAGGGATTTGAAGGATCCAGTGACACTTCAGGATCCCGAGAATTTTCTTTTACAGAGGGTGCTTTAGTACGGATCATCCATGCTGAATGAAAAATAAGACAATGTAAATTAAAACAAAGACCTTAAACACTGCAAAATCTAACAGTGTTCGTAGTAAAGATCAATATCCAGTGTAAAACTCCGAAGAGTGAAGAAAATGCCTCTCAGATAAGTAGGACAAGCACAGGATGTTCACTCAGACAAAGGAATAAGAAGAAAACCCTAAAGCAATTCTTGTCACCCTTGCAGGTGCTTGCTGCCCAGAGGTGGTGTTAAAATGGGGACTCTGATTCAGTAGGTCTGGGTGGTGTCCCAGATTCTGCATTTCTCACAAGCTCCCTGCTTGTGCTGTCGATGGTCCGTGGACCATGCCTGGAGACACTTTTGGGGCACGGGCTTCGTCTTTTGATCGAATGAGTACGAAGACCATTTTGGATAGATTTGGGATGGTGGAAAGTCAGTGAAAAGCAAAAGATGGCAATACTCAAAAGAAAAGAGAAACTTGAGAAAAATCAAAACGCGTGAAAGTTATGGTGATAATTCTAAATACTGATTTTGGTGGGATGTGATTTAGGGAGATGGTGACGAATCTAGTTTCATGAAATAAATTGTGTGTGTGTGAGTGTGTGTGTGTGACACAGTTGTCTCATCCTTGCAGGGGAGGGGGGAGGGGTGGGGGAGGGGGAACCAAACATGGCATGTCTTAATACGGCCTTTCAAAAGGAGAGCCAGATTTGGAGACTCTGCTCTCATGATCAACTGCCAGGGTAAACCACAGTTCAGCAGCTGCAAACGTGCTTGCCAATACAGAGATAAAAATGTTTCTGAAAACAAAATTTCACGTATACCCTCCACTGAGGTTGGCATCATATCTTCCTGTGTATCTTGGGTGTAGCTTTTACCCAGGCAGAATTTAGACACCAGAAACCAAATGAGGTGGTAAACAGAACCAGTTTGCAGAAGAGTGAAAATAACCCAGCAAGAATTGAAACCACAAATGCCCCCGGAGTTGGTCATTCACCAGCCAAGACCTAATAAAAATGAGCAGAAAAGACTATGAGGGTTGGCTCCAGGGCTTAAAAAACAAAACAAAAAACAAAAAAAAGAGAGCTCCAGCATTTAGTGTGATGGTTTTCATTTTACCTTTGGCTTGTTCTAGAAACACATTCTGCTTCTTCCATCCCACCCTTTCTCAGTGCCATCCCACCCGGTTTCAGTGTGAAACCATTATCACACCACTAGGGAAAGAGGGTATCTGAGACTTAGAACTCTTATCATTGGAGACGAGAGTCCTGAGTTCTAGAAGCATCAGGATTAAGAGCAAGATCTTTGGACTCAGATGGGCACAAATCTCAGCTTTGTCATTTATTCAGTGACCTCACTAGATTTTTACTTCTCTTTGCCTCTCTTCCTTTACCTGTAAAATGAGGACATGAATAGTACCTCCCTCCACCTCACAGGCTGGTAGGCAATATTTAATGATTTCAGACATGTAAAACTTGCAGAGTGGTGTGCAACATGCAATTAATGTTTCATAAATGTTAATAATTATTTTAACTATGTCACTCTCTCAGGGCCTATAGGAAAGTTATTTAATTAGCTTAGTTATAAAGATAGTGAACATGATGTCCATCAAGATCCTTTCAAGACCTAAAATGTTATAATTCTATGAGTTGAAGTCACCTTGATCAATAAATGAGAGGCGTTGCAAGGCAGGTGGGCAAATAACGCTTCTTTGCTTAGTCCTTCTAGTACCAGTTTCTGTTTATAGCTCCTGTGCACCTGGGCCCTTCACAGTTCCAGACACCGGCTCCTGAACGTACTGTCATGGCCCCACTGCCAAACCAGTTTCCATCACCTCCTTGTAGTCTGTCTTCCCTGCTCCTCTCCATACACCTAAATCCTACCCATTCTTCAAAACCAACCTACGGTCTACCTTCTTCATAGGCCTTTTTTTTGTGATCACCAAGCTTCTTCATTGACAAAGTCCTTTAACACAGAGATTGTCAGCCATTACTATGCTCTGCCTTATATTTTTCTGAAAACATATATATTTTTTATTTTTCTGTCTTCACCACTTAACTAGATAATAATCTCCCTGAGGTCAGGGTCACAGACTTACTCGTCTTGGTGTCTCAGTCAAGCCGAGCATTGTTCTAACACAAAAGTATTTACAAAATGACTATTGATTGATTCATTGTAAAAATCAGTGAGGCGTTAAACTTAATACGCCAATTAGCCGAATGTGGTAATTAACTTAATGCTAATACTCTTCCTGCCAGCCTCTTCCTGTGCCCCAAGGTCTTCTAAAACATTGAATCGATCTGCTTCCATCTAGTGGCAATGAAAAAATAAGTAGTTCCTGTGACCAGAAAACGGCTCTGGGTGGATTGTGTCAAAAAAGACTTTCACTCAGTGGGTGTGAGCATGAAAGAAATCTTAACATCTTGTGGATTTCCTGCCCACAGAGATAAGGAGCCCAGCCCAGAGAAGGGTCTAGGACCCCACTGACACTATCGAATGGAAGATAGGGCACTAAAACAAAATCGAATAAAAGAACATCCACTGACCCAATGTCCCTATCCAGCTACCTTCCTAAGCGCCTCATCTCCCAGCCAAGCTTTTTAAAGAGTTGGCTTACATGTTCTGCCTCTACTTCCTCATCTCCACTGATTCCTCAACACTGGGCTATCAGACTTCCTTCCTGACCTCAACACCGAGAACAGGCTCTGCACGGACAGCCTTGCTACATCCAGTGGAAACTCACTGGTTCTCCCAATATCGCTTGAAACCGTTTCTATTTCCCTGGCATTCAGGACCCAGACTCTCCTCATTTTCCTTTTGCGTCTCTGGCACCCCCTCCCCATCCCCGTGTCCTTCACTGACCTGTTTGATACGGATGCCGCACCCGTCCCCGCCCTCCCTCCACATCCCCTTCCATTCTCCCGCTCCTTGCTCCTCGCTCTCCCCAGATGACTGTACCTGCTCCCGAAATAGCAGCTAACCTCCCGGAGTGTGAGAACCCCGAAATCCAGTCTCTGGCCCCCAGATGGCCCTGTACTACAGACAGAACCAATCAACTGTGGATGAGCCACAGACACTTACAGCTCAACATCGACAGAACTGAACCCGTGACCTTTACCTCCAAAACCTCTCATTCTTTTGTGTTTCCTTCTCAGTAAATGGCACTGTACAGATGGTAACTATCTGCCAGTCCCCACTCAGAACCACGATGACTTATTGGATTCTTCTCTCTCTCTTGCTTAGCCAATTAGTAACCATATTCAGTTGATTTTACCTCTACCTCATGAACTAAGTCAACCTCACTGCTACTTCTGTAGATAGGCCACATCAGCTTTAACTTAATAACTTTACATGCCTCCGAAACAGGTCTTTGCCTCCAGACTCACCCCACTCCCCTGTCTGCAAAGTGATCCTCATCAGATACAAATGTTAGCATGACATTCACCTGCTTCACCCCACAGACCTCAGGATTAAGTTCATACTCCTTCATAAGGCTTATAAATTACTCTATGCTCTGGCTCATGTTGCCTTATGTCTGCCCAGTTTCTCTTTTGCATTCAAAGCTACAGCTCACTGAACTCGTAAGAACTTCTTCATAACAATTTGTGGTTGGTAGTGTGGTTGTGTGAACAAGCAGCCAACCTTCTCAGGGACCATCTCGCTTCTTCCAGCATCTTAAAGGAGCTCGGTTTTCTAACTGGGTGCTCGGTGTGCCACCAAAGTCCTATCTCCATCGTTCTTACTTACACGCTCCTTCTCTAAACCTCTAAGCAAGTGAGAGACTGAAGAAATGTTTTGCCCTCTTCACTTCTGTCAGATGGACCATTGCGTTTTCACATGTCTGCATCTCTTCTTGGTCTGTTCCTCCAGTTTAAAAAAACCTGAGGTTCCAGACCACGCTAAAAGAATTGCCCCTTTGGGGAAGCCACAGGTAGAATTGATGTTCCCCACCTCTTCCACATTTCTGAAGGTCAATGCTAATCAGAGCAGTAGTCATTTACCTTCTTGTACCAGGCACTGAAGGCTTGGGAGTCTAGGGCCAGAGATTCATTAGTTTCTCAAGAAATCCTTGATCAACTAAACGTTTCCTGGATACTGTATTTGGTATTGCCCTTACATTCAACTGGGACAAGAAGAGATATGTCATAATGTTTACAATCCTCTAAAAATTTTTCAGGGATAATCAAAAAGAACTCCCTTTATATAACCGCCCTTTCTTAAGTGGGCATTGTTTGTTCATTCATTCATTCCAATCCACTAGCACTCAAAAATACAAAAACCGTAAAAACAAAGCATTTATGGGAGGCTAGTGGATTATCATTTTATATGGAAATTTCATGTGAATGAGACCCGAGTTAAGATGTCTAGCTCTAACAGGAAGTATCTCAAGGCAGGTAGAGAAAAGATCAACAGATGCAGAAACTTCTCACTGATGAAACTTACCTTTCCTTAGACTTTTTACCTAAAAACACAAGAAACAGAAAAATGGCATTAGTGTAAGTAGACAATTCCACTTTTTTTTTGTAAGAAAGAGAGAAGCAGAGTCCCACTCTCAAACTGTCTTTTGGAAAGTATTATACATTTGTTGGGTGGACCCCATCTGTGTAGAAGGGGATTTGAGATGCTGGCTTAATGTTTTGATTCAAACAGCGGTAGATACTCAGATGCGATAGCCTCACTGTTGCAGATGCTTCTTAGGGTTCCGTTTCATCCCCGGTGCTGATCACAAAGACAGCAGCCGAGCTGGAATGACCTGCTGGTCAGTTCCAACAAACCTTTCCCCATGTTTATCCCGTCCTCACTTGCCGTCTCCTCCCACCTGAAGATTCTTCCCTAACAGACTTAGCTGGTAATATCGTAAGAATATGTGTCATTACGTCTCACACCACCTTGTCTGTGAGAATCCACAAAGATATTTCACTCGGGTCTCGGTGGTAGGAATTACTCATCTAATGTGAGTAACTGATGTGTTTTTATCTTACAAACACAGTAAATATAATAACTCATTATACTCCCTTCTTCGGCTGCCAGGAAACAGAGCCAGAGCCAAGACCCTTTTCTGTAGAGTGTATAGGACTTTGTGACACACATTTTTGTGTACTAACTTCACCTCTTGCTCCAGCTTATTTTTGTGCCTTAAATTTTGGCTTTCCTTTTCTTATTTACTTTTAAACTCATTTTAACCTATGTTGAATACATTTCATAAACTATCTTAGATTATTTTTGGAAAAAGCAGGGTATAAGTAAGGAGAACAATGAATGAATAGCAAAGTTGGAACTCCAGAGGAAATAAAAGCAAAAAAATCCCACCAAAAACAAAAACAAAAACAAAAACTCCCTGGAGTTCTGGAGTCATCCAACCTGGGTGTAAGTTCTATTTTATCAACTGCAGTGTGTCTCTGAATAGCTACTTACCTTCTGAACCCCCAGTCCCTTCATCTGTGAAAGGGGCGTGATAATTACATCTCCCTCATTGAGTTGATAAAGTAAAATGTATTCAAAGTATTTAGGCCAGGACCAAGCACATGGACAGTGGACAGTTACTGTTTTAAACCTTTAAAATGTTAGAATTTACTATTTTAAATATTTCTTCTCAAATTCAGCCTGCTGGTGAGATGGGTTGAATGCATTTGAGCAGGGAGAATTAATCTGAATTCTGAATTAATCTGAATTAATCTGAATTAATCTCAGGGTCTATTTGTTTACCTTCATATAAATATAGTTTCCTTTTAGGAACAATGAAACATATACCAATACATGAGCAAGACTATGTTCCTACAAGAGAGCTCTTTTTGAAGAAAAAGGAACTAAGGGCATGTGTTCAGTTTCGTGCCCTGTTCTAACCCTGTGGGTTGTTGGTTCAGGTGGGGAATTCTTCCAACCAAGAGAAAAAAAATAGAGCCTCAAAGATCAGTGATGTTAGGAGGCCTGTGTGAATGGGAGTCTGATCTCCGATTCTGGCTCTGCTGATAGTAGGATTTGAGGGATTTGGCCTCAAATCACTGCTTCCGTTTTATTATTTATTATTTTATTATTAATTAATTAATTAATTAATTAATGTGCTTATTTATCCCAAGGATGATGACTAATCAGGGAATGATTATTTAGGGAAACAAAGTGGTTCTAGACAAGTCTATTCAGAGGGCACATGTTTCTAGTGCCTGTATTTATCTCTCTTCCAGAAGAGAGGAGCTAAAGTCTGGATATCAAGATAACAAAGGCAGAGGCCAAAGCACAGGTCCTGAGGACAGAACGAGTCAGTAATCTGCTCATTTCCTCGGCTACTATGTCCTGAATATTCACCTTTCCTCCTTTTCCAGCTTACGAACCTGAAACACAACATGGAGGAAATTCTCAGAGTTGATGACTGCTGCATACATGCGGATTTACTGTTTTTAATTTTGTTTCTTGTAAATGTGTCAGCTACACAGTTAGAAAAGCTCTGAGGGGTTATCCTGGGAACCTACCCATCATTCTTAACACTGTGGAACATTGGGAAAAACATTCTTCATGTTTCAAAGAACTAACTTAACAACTAAAATCTTTGAAAGACGAAGCCACTTGGAAGTTGGAAATATCAGAAGATGTTCCACAAATGAAGACCACTGAAATGCTACATTAAAGATACCTTGACTTTCCTACAAAGTCAGTGATCTTTTGGGGCTTCTGTTCTCTTTGCTGGCATACATGTATCTAGCCTAACTGCCCGTTATCTGTTTCCTGTTTGCCCCACACTTATTCCCACAGCAGGGGCATATAGTTTTCAAGTTATCAGTTTGAGATCTTGTACAGAAATGACTCCAGGGTAAAAAATTTAAAAACAACCCCACTGCCTTTCTCACCACTGCTTATAGAACCACCTTAGCCAGCTAACCCCCACCCCACACCCTGCCGCTAAATACAAGTCACTGCGTTCTATTCTTTTGATTCTACTAACAGTTCTTTAAGTTTTATTTCTTTATTTTGAGAGGGGGGAGGGAAGAAAGAGGGCGGGGGAGAGAGAGAGAGAGAGAGAGAGAGAGAGAGAGAGAGACTCCATGCTGCCAGCACAGAGTCTGATGTGGAGCTCAGTCCCACAAACCATGAGATCATGACCTGAGCCAAAATCAGAGCCTGGAGCCTGTTTCAGTCTGTGACTCCCNAAACATTTATTAAGAGACTATGGAATTGGGGTGCCTGGGTGGCTCAGTCGGTTAAGCGTCCGACTTTCGCTTAGGTCATGATCTCGCGGTTCGTGGGTTCGAGCCCCGCGTCGGGCTCTGTGCTGGCTGCCAGCTCAGAGCCTGGAGCCTGTTTCACTCTGTGACTCCCTCTCTCTCTGACCCTCCCCTGCTCACGCTGTCTCTCTCTCTCCTAGAAATAAATAAAACATTAAAAAAATTTAAAAAAGAAAAAAGAGACTATGGAATTTGGGGATATCCTTCTTATTAAGGTGACTCACAGGCTCCATATCTTTAAAGGTTATTTAGATAGCAGCCTCCTATGCCAGAAACCAGTGTATAAATGCACACTGCATTCTCTAACCCTCAGCTCTGTCACCATCACCCAAAGGAGGAGGGAAAAAGGGATGACTGGGGTCAGAGTTTGAAGTCTTAGTGGAGACGACAATCAATGGTGGGAGAAAAGTCTCATTCTTTCCTTCGTGTAACATTTAAGTACTTAGTAAAGTACTATAAAATGATGGGACCCATATTAGCAGAATTTCCAAGAACAGGAGCAGAGACATTTAAACTGCTCAGTGCTCTTACTTTACACTAATGAAGTTCTTGCCCATCACCAGTGACCTCTTCCATGGTCCTTCTGGGTTGGTTATAAAACTAACCTAGTATCCTGATTCTTAAGTTTGGAATGAAAGATTCCAAAGATAGTAGAAGACCATTAGGGATTGGTAGATAATGTTCCTGCAATTGGCAGTGAGGATGGGTAAGAGGCAGCCTTTATATACCATGTTCATTGAAGAGAACACATACTAATTAACTGATGGAAGTAAAATTAAAATGACAATCAACTGACTCTGGAGAAATGCAACACCGAACCGTTGGTTAGCAGTTGTTTTGAGACCATTCATGGCCTCTGAACTTAAAGCAGGGATATCTCTAAAGATGCTTAGTGTCCATGAATTTCATAGTCTTCAATGTTTATGTCAGGCAAGTTTGGCCAAATGTGGCAGTGCACACCCAGAACCTGCCACAGACTGTGGATCTGTAGCCAGGAAGCTGGTCCCACTCTAAGGCTTGGGCATCTAGGAGGGAGATGAGGGGGGTAATGCTGTTGCTTTCCCCTGGTGGTGTCCCAGGTACTGTTCCAGGTAGTGGCTGTTAGTTTCTCAAACAGCCCTTCTTTCCCTTTTCTTCTCCAGGCCAGAGTGGAGGGAAGCGTGAATATGCAGTGCATTTATTTAGAGCTATTACCTCAGGGAATAGACACTGGGGAGAAAAATGTGGATATTTCTCCCAGGGACAATGCAATTCCCACATGTCAGAAGGGACAATGCATTTCCCACATGTCAGAAGCCAGGCAGGTATGTGGCTCAGGTTTTGGAGAATAGTGCCTTAATAACTTTACTGGACATTAGATTCATTTTCTAGTGGAATTGTTGCACTGAGATCAAAGGCATGTAGGCTCTTAAGAGGACCGAGATTATGCATCCTTTTTTCAGAATTAAATAAGAGCAAAGAACCATTAAAATATCTCATTTGTCTATTAGTGCACTAGAAGGGGCCTTGAAGACAGTAGGCATTTTTAAAAGGTTTGTCAAATGAAAAGCACAAATCAACCAACTTGTTTTAATGAAAGGGTGTAGGGCTGTTTCCCACTCCCCCAGCAATGATGTCTACAGAACACAGAATTTAGTATCCTGCTTCAGTTGAATCTACAAATCTTAATTTCCTGTGGGTTTCTATTCTTTTATCCACTTTGCTTTTTTTTTTTTAAATTACTTTTAAGTGCTTGCTTATTTTTGACAGAAACAGAGACAGAGCACAAGCTGGGGAGGGGCAGCGAGAGAGGGAGACACAGAATCCAAAGCAGGCTCCAGGCTCTGAGCTGTCAGCACAGAGTCCCAGCACAGAGCCCCACGTGGGGTTTGAACTCACAAACCTCAAGATCATGACCTGAGCCAAAGTTGGACACTTAACCGACCGAGCACCCAGGCACCCCTACTTTTATCCACTTTGAATTGCATATTTTCATATGAAGTCAAACTTACATACCTTTCTTTAATCTTCTTGCCAGCCAAATGATAAATGCCAACCCAGAAAAAGCAGTAACCATGACTGCCACTGGAATGAAGAGAGGGTTATAGTTACCCTCTTTGATCATTGAGAAACTCCTGTCCACTTCTGAAAGAGAGATCAGTAAGGCATACGGCATGAGGCCACAGCATTATATCCTTAGTGTCATCTCATGACATGAGCTTTTGTTCCTTCTCATGTCTCCCAATAACAGCCCATTTGATAACGTTCGGTGGACGAGGAAACCTACATGGGAAGGACTGTTACGACCTGCAGCAGAGGCAAAGACAGGACAAGTTTCTCTAGCTCAATGCCTATAAATTCTTAATCCCCAGGTTTGTGATTCATGGAACTCCTGGGAGAAGTACCTAAAAATCTTACGAAGTGGTCACCATTGTATTTATCCCCCTGGCCTTGTTCAATAGTTGGGACTCTGATGCACAGAGAAGACCCAAAACATCGAATGCAACTTCAGGAAAAATAAAAGCCAGTCTTCTTAACCAGGGACAAATCGGTCAAAGGAAACTATTAATATTTTTCCTTTAAAGCTGCTGTGCCAACATATGCACTTGCTGTATACATGCTGAGGACCTATGCTGAACTGTCTTTCAAATGATAGTGTCCTACTACATATTTCCACCTCCTGCACAAATAAGTAAATGGATACTCCTGTGAGAGTGAACCTTTGGGAACATTTTTTGGAAAAACCAATGTTATGAAAAAAGCTATCTTCTAATACCACCGATTAAAGAAATTTATTTTTGCATATTAGCATAGGGTTTGTGTCCCCCGTTCTTCATGTTACTTTGATGAACCCTTTCAAGGTGCTTCCACCCCAACACCCAAATATATAATAGAAAAAAAGACTCAAGTCCCCAGACAACCCAAATAGAGGACATCTATAGGTTCCATGAGAATGAGGAAATGGACACTGACCCAGCTTTAAAAGGAAATGTCCCATAAGCCTGATACATAATCTCCCCTAAAGACCCCATGCCTCCTCCCCAATTCCCTCCCATATGCCTTGGCCCTGTGCCATACAGAGATCAGCTTCTCTGATAGTTTCTAGAGATCCCACCACTTAAAACCTTTTCCATTGGTAGAGGTGATCTCAGGAACAGACCTGAGTAGCGACTCTTTCATATGCTAATTTAATGTGCACTTATTTAGCAACTTATTTAGCACAGGCACTAGGTGTCTACTGTATGGAAATGAGGAAGACATAGTCCTTCTCATACACAGATAGGGAGGCATAGGCTTAGTGATAATTGATAAGTATATACTATTTTGGGAATTAGGTGACTTTTGTAGCAACTGGTGACTTTTGTAGAAACATTTTAATGGACTAACAGAAGTGAGATTGTAGTGGAATAGAAGAATGAGTAAGAAGTCAGAAAATAAAAGAAATAAGTCAGAGACAGAGCATTTAGATATTAAAAGTTGAGATACAATGAGTTAAAAATTGGCTGTAAAAAGAAGTGGGTGTCATTGAAGGAAGAAGCAAGAACAGCCAAGGATTTTATAGTAAATTAATGTGTACAGATTTAATGTTGAGGCATATATATTTAGAAAAATGAAAATTTTTAAGTTTAATCTATCTTTCCATGCCATCTTCCCATTCACCAGCTCCCTTTTTAAGTTGTCAGCATATCAGGGCAAACTTACTCACTTTGACATATCGGACTAGGGCTTGACCAGATTCCCGTTGGTCCACAAGTAGTTTTTCTCTCCCCAGTTAATGCAGTTCCTTCTGAGCAGCTGAAGGTACACGTGGATGTAAAGCTGAAGTTGGCCAGGGGGTGACTACAGTCCATAGTTCCCAAATCAGGTGCCATTAGAGGCTTACAGGAAATAACTTCCATGAAAAATAAAAAAGCAGTATTTCTGAGTAGAGACCCTCCTTTCACCAAAGGTTTTTAGCCAAAGCTGCTTGACTCAACTGTAGAACCACTTGATTGAATCTAGACATTTCTAAATTCTAAAAATTAGTTCTGATAATGTCTCCAGACTTTATTTTCTTGAGAATGATGGAGAATGGGGCATCAGAGGTGAAGCCAGGAGCACTGAAAGCCCTTGCAGGTGGGGAGGTGTGGAGCAGAGGGGAGAGTTGGTGGCTCCAGGTTGCTGCTCCAGTCCTGGTAACTCTCAACCACTGCCTGGGAGTATTACATAGCCTTGGCCTCAAGAGTGCTTATGGAATATTCTCGGTGAATGTAGAGAATTTCCACTCTTACAATGGTTCTAAAGTAAACAGTGTTGGAAAACACCCTAATTCTCTGAAGCAAGTCACTAAAATTTTATAAAATTCAGCAGGTTTGTCAATTTAGTTCAGTGATTTCAGTATGACTTTGATAGTTTTTTTCTTAAGAATTAAACCACTTAAAATTAGTGAGTCAGATGCATAAACGTAGAAAATGTAACCAAGACTTCACAAGCTCAGACGTCACCAATTTTCTCCTGTATAGGGATAGTCTTTTTGACAGCTATAAAGGAAAAACCCACCATACCTCAAATGAAAAAAGATCAAGAGACCGTGTTTTTGTTTTTCACGGCAGTTGTTATTCCTCTGAGAGTTCATAGAGGATGAAAAGTAAAAAATGATTTCAAGAATAAACCAAATAAAACAATCAAAAAAAACTCTACACCCTGAGAAGGAAATTGGTTGGTGTTAAGTAAGACACCACATAAAATAGGTGTTACTGAGAGGAGAGAACAATCAACATTTAACTGAGGTTCATCTGGACTATGTATGCCATGACGGTGAGAAAACTAAAGTAAAAATTACGCTATAATCACATTGCGTATTACTGAAAATTATGTACATATCACTAGATGGTTCCAGAGGTATTTGGTTGTTGTTTTTTGTTTGTGGCTTTTATTTTTGATTCAAGTAACAATAATCCTTTTTAAAAGCATCACAGTGTGATCTAAGTTAGATTGAATTATGTTCCAAAAAGGACAGAGATTCCTTGCAAGTCTCTGCTGCATTTTCTCAGTTAACCCAAGTCAGCCATGACAAAGCCTCTGGTTTGAAGACTTACTCACTTTGACAGGTTGGTTCTAGAGATGACCAGTTTCCAACAGATCCACAAGTGGTTTCCTCAAACCCAATGAGATCTGTGCCCTTAGAGCAGTTGAAGGTGCACTGGGAGCTGAAGCTGAAGTTTCCCACAGGGTGAATACATTCCATGGTACCCAGTTCAGGGGCCTCCAGACGCTTACACTGAACGACTGCAGTAAGAAAAGAAACAGTATTGGCTAATGTGGAGAGGACCCGGTGTCTCGGTTTGAATCCTAGTTTTGGTCACCAAGTGCCTTTGCACAAAGTGAACTAACCCTTCCAACTTCAGTCTCTTCATCTATGAAAGAGGAGTCATGCGATTGTATTAACTTCCTAGAACTGGTGTGGGGATCAAATGGTCTAATGTAAGTCAAGGACTTGGAAGAGAACTTGGCTCATAGAAAGTCCTAATTAAACATGAGCTAGTCTTCTTATTATTGCTGGCATTTTCTGAGAAGATAACTTTTTATGTTTATTTATTTATTTTGAGAGAGAGAAGGGGGGGGTGTAGAGAGGAGAGAGAGAATTGTGGGGCTCGATCTCACAAACAGTGAGATCATGACCTGAGCTGAAACCAAGGGTCAGATGCTTAACTGACTGAGCCACTCAAGTGCTCCTAAGGAGAGAATTATTAAACCTAGATGGGTTTAAGTGGGAATGACTAGCTCTTTTTGGAAATAATTGTGATATCAGAGCTCCTAGGTAAAGTATAGTGTTGGGAGCAGGAGGTGTGGAAAAAGAGTGGGGTAGCTTAAGGAAGCATCTTGGCCTTGATACTATTTTCACCTTCTCTAGCTCAGCTCCAGACCTTCAGTTCTTCTGATTTTGATTCCCTCTCCATCTATTTCCCTGCTCTGACTGGTAGTATTAGAGATTGAATTGAGCCTTGGAAATGAGTCTTCACATTTTTAGGCCCCTCCATGCCATGTGAGCAAATATTTCAATTCTTGTGTCCTATTCCTTATCCATCTTGAGCCATTGTTGTGACCTTGCTTTTGAGATTTGAATGAAGAAAGGACTTGAGGAACTAGAAGAATTTTTATACTTTCCAAATACAGTACAAGTCCAGATTAAATTATGTTCTCCAATTCTATTCATGCCTGCAAGCAAGTGCCTTATATACTTCAGGCATAGTCTCAGTCTGACATCTGAAATTGTAAATAATACTTACTGACCTCAAGCTGCTGCTAGTCTACCAGGGAATACAGACAAGTAAATAGATTACTTCAACAAATGTGGATAAAGAAGAAAGAAATATGCAGACCTACTGGAAAATGGAATAGGGACACTTAGCTTGTCTTAGGGTCCAAATAAATCTTTCTGGGGGAAAAAAAAACAATCTTTGAACTATGTCTTAAGGATGAACAGGTATGTCAGCCATGTGCAAAATGAGAGACAAATCCATGAGCAAGTCAATGAAATACAAAGCACATATGAAAAGTGTGGAGAACTACAAGCATTTTGATGTTACTAGAAGGAACAGGGAGGCAGGGAACGGTGTGAGGTGAGATAAGAAAGAAAGGCAGGAGCTAAGACAAAATGCTTTTATCTTTTTTCTTTAATTTAATGACTACTGACTGTGTACCAAGCATTTCTCTAAGCCTTGAAGAGTTTAGATTTCATCCTGTAGGACAGAGGATAGGTAGAAATTAAATGGTTGGTATATGTATGATGTTTGCTTGATTGTTTTTAATTAATCAGCCTCTTTGTAGCATGAATAGTATACTTAAGGGGAGCTAATTTAAAGCTGTGGAACTCTGCTAAGGAATTAATCCAATAATCTAGGATGAATGAGGGCAGTAGTAGCAGAACTGACAAATGGGAGACAAATTGGAAGAACAATAAGTTGTAAAAATGAGTAGTGTGTTACTTTGCATAGATGTAAGGGGAGGTGAAAGAGTTCATACCAGAGTACCCATATAAAGGGTGGTGCCTCATACTGAGGTAAGAAATATAAAAAAGGAAGTTGGCTGGGACAATTAATTTTACAGTTCTTTGGATATCCCAAAAGATATTCTTAGCATACTTGGAGTTTGGGGCTGGAAATAGATTTGTCAGTCTAAAGCTCACATGAATCTGTGAGTCCACAGAAGTTTGACCAAAGCGGGGACATGTAGAGTCAGAAAAGCAATGGGCAAAAAGATAGAAGATGAGAAATAACAAGAGTATGGGCTTGGATAAACACCTATGAAGAAATGCAAGGAGAAATGACTATAGGTAGAAAGAAGACCAGAAAAGAGTGAGAAGATGAAAGCCGAGACAGAAAAAAGAGTAAAATGTTCAAAAAGGAGTGAAATAGGCATATCAATATTATAAGAATTAAAAAATTAAAGGTCAGGGGTGCCTGGGTTGCTCAGTTGATTGAGCATCTGACTGTTGATTTCAGCTCAAGTCATGATCCCAGGGTCATAGGGTCGAGCCAAACATCCTGCTCTACACTGAGCATGGAGCCTTCTTAGAATTCTCTCTCTCTCTCTCTCTCTCTCTCTCACTCTCTCACCTTCACTCACTCTTTGTCCTTCTCCTGCACTCATGTGCACTCTTTCTTTAAAATAAAATAAAATAAAATATTAAAATTCAGGACCAATAAAGAAATAATAAAAAATAAACTTCAGGAGTTGAAGGTAACTTATTGGGTAGGAATTGAGTGAAATGAGTTAAACCGTCACCATTTGGTTGACACTTAAATTTATTTTTTGGCTCTAATTCTTTAATTCTCTGTCTATTATTTACAAATACTGAATTTCTCTTCTTCTATTTTTTTCTCCTGTGCCTCAGATACTTCAACCATAGTTTTGAAACTCAACCAATAACAACCAAATGATTTGGTGTTTCTTTCAGTAGTGAGCTGACTGGGTCAAAGACTCCTTGACTTTGAGTCTATGTACTCTTTCCTTTCTGTTTCTACCACCACAACTCTGAATGATTTCAATAGACTCCTACTGATTCTCTCCATCTTCTTTCTTTTTGTTCTCCAATCCATATTATGCATTGCCTTTAGGAAAATTGCCCCAAATGCAGGTGTTAAGATACTAAGTGGGCTCCCATTGTCCAATAAAGGCCAGATTCTTTCATTAGGCAGTTAATTCCAGCTTGTACCTTGCTTTCCATCAAACTGAATTATAAGCATATATAATTTCCACTAGCTAATTGCAAATCTTTCATAGACAGAATCTATAACAGATTTGTCATTGTATCCCCCAAAATACGTAGCCCAAATAAATGTGTTGGATTTATTACTATATTTCTCTGACCTATATTGTGTATCATTATCTGAACTTTTCTTTTCAGCCGTGCCCTGTCATGACTTTGAGGATTACATACAAAAGCAAGATTATACAAAGGGTAACTCACCCCCCCCCCAACAATAAATGGCAATGTTTCTTTCTGACATCAGAGTTCTAATGAGTCCAACCCGTTTGCTGGATTATGGGTTCCCTAAGAATAGGAATCTACCATGCTCGATTCATTATTGTCATCCTTAAAGCTTTTATCCGAACACTATATTCTCTGTGGCACTCAAAAAGACTTGCTAAGAAGTGAACAGAAACTTCATGCTGACTTATGAAATCTTTCAGGAAAAGTAACAACATTGTGCAAGCATATCCTTCAGTTCAAAACTTCTCATTTCTCGGAATGGCTAGTACTGTTTTGTCCCTGTCAACTTCCATAAACTACAATAAGCCCTGTAAGTTTACACAAGGAGAAGCAAAGACAGAAAAGGGCCTTACCAAATTGACACTGGGGTCCGTAGTACCCAACATCACAGTTGCAGGTATAATTATTGATGGTTTCCACACATTCTCCATGGTTGCTACATGACAAGGGCTGACAAGAAGCTTTAAAGGTGGGGAGTGAAATAAATTATTTGAACGTGATTACTTCTTAGTACTCAGAGTCATTTCTTTGGATACAGATAACTTTTTTGGCCAAGACTGCTTTAGTAAGTGGGAAAGCTTTATTTGTACATTCGTAACATTTTTGCACAAAAATGTCAGGATTTTTTATTTATGTCATATACTGCCCATTTAGCCACAGACATATACTTAGAATGAATTTACCAGCACAAATACTCTCTAACATTGTGGGGAAACTCATTGACATACTTTGACACTCTTCGAATTACTTTGTTTTAAATGTTATAAGTATGTTAAATGATGGCCTAACCCCAACCATTTCTGCAATATACTTAGCAATCCCTTTCTTCTGAGAAAGTATTATATAAAGATTAAAAAGTCTAAACTTGTTAAATCAGTAGAGAACCCAATTTACAAGAGGTCAGATTACTGATGAAACGTGACTTGGAAAAATACTGTTTGGGAACTGAAAACAAATTTTCAGCCTCCACAGATAAGGAAACATGGCAATATTTCATTATATAGAATTATAGAAGATTAGGCGAAGAAGGAAACATGAGCATAAAGCCCACCACCATAAGCAATGAGAAAAGCTGGGGGGGGGGGCACATGAGCCTGAGCTCTTGGTCAGACCCACATCTCTGTGTCCGTTTCTCTGCTTTACTTCTCACATATATTTATCATATTGATGTAAATTGATTTAAAGGAGTCACTTTTGGGTGTTAGCACCAGCCTTACACACCAAAAATGCACAGAAGGGACATGCTTTTATTTTATTTTTTAGAGAACTGGATTTTTTTTTTAGAAGATATTAGAAACTGCTTTCTTCCCTAACATCCCCACAAGCCTGGGGTCCCACCATCACCCCCCTACCTGTGTAACAGAGGGCTATCTTTTGCTTGTGGCAGGAGTCATCATTCCACTTCCCTGCATCTTTGGCCCTCTTGATGTAGATCTCCACACAGTCCTCCTTGGACTTCTTGTTGTTCGGCTCTCCGTGCCCCCAGTTCTCTGCCTCTTTGGTGAGAGACTTGTTGGTTCCCACCCAGGTCCACACTCCGCCCACCTTCCGGATTCCTATCCAGTAGTAAGAAGAGCTGAAGGGAAGAGTCTGCTCCAGGTACTCAATCTCCCCCTTGTTTTGTATGGCAACTAAATCTGTGTAATTTTCTTGGCAGAACTTTCTAGCCTTTGCCCATTGCATGGGTTTTTTAGAATAGTGGTAAGTCCAGCAGTCGGTCCCATGACGTCCAAGGAAATCTGAAAGACAGCAATGCAAACTATACAGGCTCCCAGTCATGGCTGAGAAGAATCTAGAACGAATCCATGCTGGGCCTGCCACATAGACATGAGGAAACCAAGACCTCAAGAGTAAAGGTTACCTTCTCAGGGTCATAAAATCAGTCATTTGCAGATTTGAAGTAGACCTTTGGTTTTTATCCACTTTTCATAGTAACATTCAATACTTTTTTTTTTGCTCATATTTTAGACAAATGTGGTGGCTTCCGAGATTTATTTTCATAATTTTTTTTCAAAATTCTTCCAATGTAATTGGAAGATGAAATTCCAATGAATTTCCAATGAAACTCAACCAATGTATTTTAGAAATTCATATTTCCTTTTCTATTTATATTAATGACATATAGAAAATTTACTATCCACTTTTTTATCCTGGGACAATTTCCTAGAAGCCAACATTTATGTTTCTACGAGAGAAGTAATATAAGGACAGGAATAACAACATACTTCTAGTAATCTCTTTCATATCAAAAAGATAATCTTTTGCCACAGGAAAATATATAGCTCAAACTTTATCTATGTAACTATGCTTTAAAAAAATAATAATGTACAAAACCAAATGATGCAGGACTGTGAAATTGATTTAGATCATGTTCTGTGCACAAAGACACTCAGCTGATGGTGTTTAGTAATCATATGGGTGCCTCAAATCTGAGGACTTGAAAGAAACAAAACCAAGTGGCGCCTGGGTGACTCAGTCAGTTAAGCATCTGATTCTTGATCTCAGCTCAAGTTTTAATCTCAGGGTTGTGAGTTCAAGCCCTGCACTGAGCTCCACAGTGGGCATGGAGCCTACTGAAAGAAAGAAAGAAAGAAAGAAAGAAAGAAAGAAAGAAAGAAAGAAAGAAAGAAAGAAAGAAAGAAAGAAAGAAAGAAAGGAAGAAAGAAAGAAAAAGAAAGAAAGAAAGAAAGAAAGAAGAAAGAAAGAAAGAAAGAAAGAAAGGAAGGAAGGAAGGAAGGAAGGAAGGAAGGAAGGAAGGAAGGAAGGAAGGAAGAAAACCCACAATGATCTCATGGTAGCATATGCCATTCTAAGCATGGTATGATCTATGTGAAACACTGTTGTACCGTTAAAGTAAATGTTTTCACAGCCATCAGCATTTACTGAGTTTCTGCTGTATAGGGCAAAAACCATAGTGAAATAACAAAGAAGACACAGATCCCATTTTTACAGGCTCCTAAGGATTCCTCCTGAACAAGGAATAATAGATGCAAAGAAAGCATAACGACTCTTGGTCAAATTAAACATATCATAAATGAACGGAGAATTGAGAAATAGATATGATTAATGAGTAAATAACAATAAAATAAACATTTGGAACAGAGTTCTGAAGGAGCATTCTACCAGAATATATGTTCTAAGGAGAAGAAACTGTTTTGTTTAGTGCTGTCTCCTCAGTGCCTAGGACAGTGTCTGACACATTGCAGGGACTCAGAAAACATTTGTTGCATGAAATTAGTGCTAGCTTTGCAGGTGACATGAGGCAGACTTGGTGTAAAGAATGTGTGAAGGACAGAGGAAAGCTAGGGCATTAGAAGACATTAGCTTCCTTAGGAATGGGAAAGCTCAAAACTATTGCTGGAGAGACTTCAAGAATCAGACATAAAACGTGTCACACCAATGGGAGAAGAATAAAATAAAATGAGTCTGACCTTAAGGAGCTCACACTTCAGTTGTAGAAATGACATTGATGTGCACTAAACTATTGATAAAAATAGAAAGTACCATGCTAAATATTTGGTACAGATTGTAAGTGCCCATAAGATATTTCTTAATTGAACTTATTTCTTCATAATAAGACTTTAGTGGTATTATTAGGATTTGGACCCCGAAACAAGGGTGTGGCAGGTTTAGGAGGTTTCTGAGATGTCACTAAAGGTGACAGGAAGAAAAAGATGTTCACAGAAGGGTAGAATTAACAGCTGTCTACCTAATTATCTTCTCTGTGACTGTGTACTCTCAGTGGATATTTAAGAAAAATAAATATGTCCGGGAGCCTGGGTGGCTCAGTTGGTTAAGTGTCTGACTTCGGCTCAGGTCATGATCTCACGGTTCACGGGTTCAAGCCCCGCGCCGGGCTCTGTGCTGACAGCTAGCTCAGAGTCTGGAGCCTGCTTCAGATTCTGTGACTCCCTCTCTCTCTCTCTGACCCTCCCCTGCTCATGCTGTCTCTATCTCTCACCCAAAAATAAATAAAACATTTTTAAAAATTTAAAAAATAAAAAATCAATCAATATATCAATATAATAACATACCACAAAAGAGCACTGTCCAGACGCACAACTTGAAGACATTCCATGAGCCCCTCTGAGTGCTCTGACATTTCCATGGAAATATCTGCAAATAAAATTATAGTTAGATTTATATTCTTAACTCACAAGTTTACAGCACCATGAGGAGATGGCTATGAACTTTCTTAAAGTTCAAAATTAAATACATATGTTTACTAACCCTGACTGAAGTAAGAGGTTTCTTAGATGTGCATGAAAAGGTAGCGTTAAGTTGCTTCAAAACTGACTCAAAGTTTACTTTCTTTCCTTCTTTCTTTCTTTTTTTTCATGTTTTAGCCTCATGTTGCTGATTGCTACTACTCTGAATTTTTCCCTACATTTCGGGAATTTTTCTACTTCCCTTCTGCTGAGCTGTTAGATGAAACTATTTGATATTTAATATGCATTTTTTAAAGTGTATTTTGGAGACGCCTGGGTGGATCAGTCTGTTAATTGTCCAACTTTGGCTCAGGTCATGATCTCACACTTCGTGGGTTCAAGCCCTGCGCCCGGCTCTGTGCTGACAGCCAGCTCAGAGCCTGGAGCCTGTTTCCAATTCTGTGTCTCCCTCTCTCTGATCCTACCCTGCTCACGCTGTCTCTCTCAGTCTCAAAAATAAATAAAACATTTAAAAAAATTAAAGTGCTCTTTGATACTTCATGAACTATTGATGTCCAAGATTTAAGTGTTAAAATCATACGCTGGGTTATAATGCGTCAGTGCTTCAAATACTTAAAAGAATTAGATACCCAGACACCAGTAAAGAAAAGCAACTCATTTTCTTTCAAGTAAAAAAAGAAATACATTTTGCACAACTCAAACCACAAATGTTCTGCATACCTTAAAACTGTATTTTCTGAACTATATCACATCTCAGGCAGCCTCAGTGTTTAGCTGCAAAGCACTCATTTCAACAAGATAGTACTTCCTCAAGAATCTCACCAGAGATGAGTCAACGAGAAGAAATCAGCCCATCTGAGGAGAAAAATTCTGGGAGCTCTCTTTAGACTTAGTATTTTTAATTCTTGGCTTTGTTAAAACCAAAACTGAAGTCTGTTGCTTCTTGCCCTTTGCCACCTGCCCCTGCAGCCCCAAGGGTTTCTATCTGAGCATCTGGAAATCTTTGAGGCTGAAAAGCTCACCGTGGCTCTGCTCATCCCTTCTGTAGTTCCTCTGGACTCCAGCCTCTCCACTCAGGACCAGGGTGTGTGGGTCCCGGCCCACGGCTGGGCGTGCTGTGCTTCGGGAGCCTGTGTGGAGGGCCACCAAAAAAGGCTTGCTTTCTTTCATTTCCCTGACTCGGTCTCACATCGTCCTGCCCCCTTCCCCTTCCCTTCCCCCATCTCTTCTCGCTCCTATTTCCCCACCCCTTTCCTAGTCTGGCCTCTGTCACTACCCTGAGAAAAGTAGAGCTGCTGATCGTTGTTGATAGATTCTCTTCTTCCCTCTTTCAATGTTTTCTTCCTTTCCCTTGTCCACCTTCCTTCCTACTTCCTCCCTTCCTTCCGTTTTCCCTCCCCGCCCCCCCGCTCATTCCCTTTTTCCTTCCTTTCCTCCTTCTCCTCCCCAGCCCCCATCTCTCTCTTCTTTTTGAATAAATACTGTACTTAACTCTTGGCTGTCCATGATAGGCCTCAGATAATTGAAAACACCACACAATCCAAACAGCGTTTTGGACCAAATCTTTTAAAATTTAAATTAGTTTTAAATTTAAGTTAGTTAGCACACAGTGTAGTCTTGGCTTCAGGAGTAGAAGAACCCGTGATTCACTCTAACACGACACCCAGTGCTCATCCTTAAAGCCCATCAACCCATATAACCATCCCCTATCCACCTTCCTTCCAGCAACCCTCAGTTTGTCCTCTGTATTTAAGTCTCTTATGGTTTGCCTCCCTCTTTGTTTTTTTTGTTTTTTTTTTTCTTATTTTTTCTTCCCCTTTATGACGTCTGTTAAACTTCAGCACACCTGACAGGTTGACATGTGGTTCCTTCTCCCTCTTCCCTTGCTTGCCCCCTAGTGGAAGTCCTCATTATTGGCACCTTTTAAAGTTAAGCTCTAAAGAGCAAAGCAGCTCTAGCTTCTGCCCTAGGGAGTTTGGGGGCCTAGAGTACTTTGGTATTTCTGAGTGTAACATGTGAAGGAAATAGACCACATATGAAATTAGGACCTATATAATGGAGGGCAATGGAAAGGAAGAGTTATGACATAATCAGATTTGTATTTTTTTAAAAGACATCAGTAACAGTAATAGCTGTAGAGCTCAACTCTCCATATGTATCACCTTATTTAACCTTTATGAAGGTTAAGTACTACTATTCCCCAGCAGTCACTATCATCAACCCCATTTTAAAAGAGTCTCAGAGAGCTTAAGAAAGTTGGGCTTAGTCACAAAGCTGGTAAGAGACACAGCTGGGGTTTGGGCCAAGGGCCAGTAGGTTCTGAAGCCCATGCTCTTATTAGGCTGCACATCTTCTGCCAGGAGCTTGGCTTCAATAAAGCCAGCACAACCGACCCTCTGTTCTCTTCTTATTTTACCAATCAGCCCCTGGTAGGGAGGAATCCTACTTCACGGACTGTTCCTTCTCTGTTTCATTTGTGGATCTGCCCTCATCTCTCCATTTTCCACACCTTTGGAGTGCTCCAGTGCTCACTGCTGTTTTCTCCTTTTCTACCTCCACTGATGTGGTGATCCAAGCCAGCCTCTTAACTTTAAGAGCATCTAAATGGTGAGGGGTCCCAAATTTGTATTTCCAGCCAGTACTGTTCCCAGCCAAATGCCCAATGGATATCTCCAATTAGTTGTTAAAAAAGCCTCTCAAATTTTACATGTGGCAAACCAAACTTCTGAATTCCTCTTCCCAAGCCTCTTGCCACCTCACTAAATTATAAATCCACTCTTCCAGTTGCTTTAGCAAAAGGCTTTGGAGTTAACCGAGATTCCCCTCTTCTTCTGACAAATCATATCCAATATGTTAGCAAATTTTGTTGACTTTATCATCAAGATATTCAATCACTTCCATTCTATCATTCAGTGAAACCACCTTCATCTCTCATCTATATTATTGTAAAAGCCCCCCATCTAGACTCTATGTTTCTACCCTTTTCCTCTTATGGTCTGTTTTGAACAAAACAACTTACTTGATTCAGTTAAAATGTGTATCATTCAGGGTCCCAGCCAGAAACAGAATTTCCCCCAAATGAGCAAAGTCTTCACTGCTATAGAGCTGTCAGTAGAGGGACCACTTACATAGACTGGGAAAGACTAAGAAAATAAACAAGAGAAGATGAGCATAGAGACTGGCAGTAGCAGGAAGCAGCTGTATCCCTAGGACTAAACATTCAAGGGAAGAAACAGTGTTGTCAGAACCAGATGAGAATTACAACCCTAAAGGAAAAACTGCCCATCAGAAGCTGTAGTGGAGGAGAGATACAGCTGCTTCTAGAAAGAACACCCAAGCAGGGAAAGGTTGAATAAGACATACCCCGACCACTCTTTCCTCTTTCTTTTTGATCTCCTGTAGGGCCTCTTACTCATGCCAATCAGGCACCAGCCACCAGTGATGCAGCCACCAGTGATGCAATCAGATACCACTGAGACGTAGGTCAGGGAGACCTGAGAAAGGATGGATGATGAGGGAGAAAAGCAGAGGGAAAGAAAATAATCAGCACAAGAGAATACATGTCAGACCACTGTTCTGCTCAAAACACTCCAGTGGTTTTCCATCCTATTCAGAGTAAAATCTGGGTTCTCACATTGGCTCACAAAATATTACATGGTCAGGTACCTGCTTCCTAATCATTTTTGTCCTCTGAGAGTTCCATTCTTTTTTGTAAGCTCAGCTATTCATTTAAACAGATTATTATAATCCACCTAGAAATGTAAAATATTATGGCAGTAGAGTTTTCAGAATATTAATTCTCTACATTTTCAGAAGCAGAAGGTCCAGCATTCAATAAATGCCAATTGAACAAATGGATGACTAAATGGATAAACAAACCCCTTTTTGATCATAAACTACAACTGTCGTTTTCTTTTATTAAGAAAACACTTTAGGGGCACCTGGGTGGCTTAGTCGGTTAAGCGTCCGACTTTCGCTTGGGTCATGATCTCGTGGTCGTGGGTTCGAGCCCCGCGTCGGGCTCTGTGCTGACTGCCAGCTCAGAGCCTGGAGCCTGTTTCAGTCTGTGACTCCCTCTCTCTCTGACCCTCCCCTGTTCACGCTGTCTCTCTCTCTCTCTCTCTCTCTCTCCTAGAAATAAAATAAAAATATTTAAAAAAAAAAAAACACTTTATATCTCCTTTCTTTTTTTTTTCAGTCTATTTATTTTGTTGGATATCTTTGTTGTTCTATGGGTTTGTTGGACATTTTTGCTCTTCTTTATTTATTTATTTATTTATTTTTTATTTTATTTATTTCTAGGAGAGAGAGAGAGAGAGGCAGCGTGAGCAAGGGAGGGTCAGAGAGAGAGGGAGATACAGACTCTGAAATAGGCTCCAGGCTCTGAGCTCGCAGTCAGCACAGAGCCCGACGAGGGGCTCGAACCTACAAACGGCGAGATCATGACCGAAGCGAAAGTCGGACACTTAACCGACTAAGCCACCCAGGCGCCCCATCTCTTCTTTAAAAACCATATGCCAGCCCAGGGTTCTCTTCAGAAAGCCAGTTTCGGTCATCTGACACCCAGCCACACTACCTTCAGGCTCCAGATTTGAACTATGTCTGCATGGTATACCAGAATTCCAGAATGTTATATAAACTTCACCTCAATAATAATAATTTAAAAAATAGTACATCTTCAATCTAAAGAGAAGATTTAGGGTAGGCAAGGTCACAGGACATGTTAGCAGCCACTTGAAGGGTGGTTGAGGGGTGGGGGAAGTGGAGAAGAGTGGTTATTCAGTTATTTTGTGCTCCCCAAAGGGCAGAACTAGAGTGAGTGGGTTCACATTATAAACCATCACAAACCCTGGAGAGATCGAAACCAATGCTGGGAGACGATTTGCCCACAATGAGATGGCTGAAAGAAGGCTCACTAAGTGCCATCGAAAGCAGAAGCACGAGGTCCGTAAAAAGAAGTCCCCTTCCCTTGTGCTTACACCCCTGCCACGAATGCTTGCAACCGACCGAGGCTGTACTCGCTGCAGTCTCCAACATGAGTGTATTGTGGGTAGAAGGAAAGCTCAGTCTCACACAACAACCAGTAACCCCACAGCTAAGTGTCTCGTTCTCCAATAACATCCTCCTCCACTCAGCTTCAACTACTTCTCCCCTGGACACGGCATCAACTTTGACATCACCCCAAACTGCGCCACCTCTAAAATCACATACTCCAGCATCCCAGTCTGTAGTCCTGGCCACCTATTCCTGTAGCTCTAGTGTTCACGAATCTCACTGCAACACTTCTTAATCCTACCTCACTGAACCTCCAGGCCATTAACTGGTTTCTCTATTTCTTCATCTCCATTCTGTTCTGTGCTGTTGCCGAACATATCTTGTCTCCATAACAGGATTTCAAACCTTGCCCTCTGGGACAACTCAATTCATTTGAGAAAGGGCTCCTGCTCCTTGTCATGAACCCAAATCTGTATTTGTTCACCCACTTATTCATTCATTCAAAAAATCTTTGTTGAGTATCTACTGCATATCAGAAATATACTACATTCTAGGAACACAGCAATGAACAAGGTAATGTGTTCCTACCCTTAAGGAACTTAGAATCTAGTAGAAAAGACAGAGACAGGTATTACACAATTACACAAATTATTTAATTGTAATTAAAGGAAGGAAGAAAAATATGAGCTGTGAGAGCATTGAAGAGGTGACCTAGTCTGAGTCGATTGTCACAAAGCGACATTTAAGCAGAGAACCTGAAATCTGATTAGGACATCAGGCAAAGAAAGGAGTGTGTGTGTGTGTGTGTGTGTGTGTGTGTGTGTGTGTGTGTGTAGGGGAGGTTGTCCTTGGGGTAGGGGGCGGTGAGTAACTCCAGGTGAAACAAGCCAGTGTGTTCAAAGGCGCCAAGGTGGTCAGACACAGCTCTCCATCGTGGATGGAATGCAATGTCTGAAGGGGCATGGCGTAAAGTGAGGCGGGGAGACAGGCAAAGCCTGGATTTAGTACGACTTGTGGGCTGTGTCAATGCCTTGGAGCCACAGTCCCTCCCAGCCCCAGATTCAGAGCCTGGAGACCAAGGAGTTCATAGGGATTTTGTCATGTAATCCAAGGATGGTGATAAGGGTCTGTTCTGAGCCTGTCAGTGGGAATAGAATATGGCTGGTTAAGGGTTATTAAAAGAACTATTGACAGGATTTGGCACCATTAGGAGATTAGGGAGAAGAACAAAATCTCCCTGAGTATAGCCAAAACTCTGTTGTGGTGATGGTTGTGCCGTCTTGTGAATATACCAAACCTCCTGGACCGTCCACTTAAAAAAAGGGTGAATTTCAAAGTATGTGAACTTTATCTAAATAAAACTGAATGAAGGAAGAACCTACACACAGAAGTAAATATAAACACATTTATTATCAAACTTTGTGCTGGTCATGTCATATACAAAACAGGTATGGCATAAGCTTAAATAAATACATACTTTAAAAACCATAGAATATTTTAAATCATAATTTAAAATACTTTTTAAAACCCAAACACAGACCATATTTACATTTCATACAACTATTTCCATCACAGCGTAAATATTTACAACATTTGAACAATTTCAGAGAAAATAATAATTCATTCCCTAGGTATCCTGCTCGCAACAGTTGTTTATTTCTCTCTCCCTTGCTTTCCAGTTCTTTCACCCCTTTAAATTCTCTACTATTCTGACACTTAGCATACCTCCCTGTTTACTTTTGGCTTTGCCTTTACAAACATGCAGCCTGTATTTGTCAGAAACTTTGATTTTTCAACACATGCTAAGTCAATGTATGTGTGGGAGAGTTTTGATTCTCACATCACTTGCAAGATGGAGCGAGAAGCTTTGACGATGGACTGGCCAAGAGTTTCTCATTGCCAATGATCAACCGGTAACTGGGGATTCCTTAGGAATTTTAAACTCCCTTATGAATAAATATATATGCTCACTCATACTGACTTTCCTCTCTTCACCAACACTCTAACAAACAGAATAAGACAATTAGGGAATAAATATTAAAAGTCTTCACTTTAAAAAAAACCCCACCAGACAAATCCTTTACAAGGGGAGTTCCTATCATGGATTTAAAATCTTAGTAATATGTAAGAATTATATGTTGACACATCACATCTGATGAACATCTTTGGAGAAATCCAAAGCATGTCCGTATTTCTACAAGTTTTTTTTTTTTTTTTCAACAAAGACACTCATAAAGTTGTACCTTCGTTTGTTTGCATTTATGCTTTTAGCAAGTCAAAACATTTGGCCTCATGGAAGCTTTTCATCATGGAAAACCATCTACTTCTGAAAAAACAGCTGACAGTGTACAAGTATGTGCCATTCGAATTCTCCTGTGCTGATACTAATGTTTTTCAAAGCAACTGGATCAAACATTTAGAACTTCACACTGGTTAAAATTGTACAGAGCTGGGGAACAGTATTTGCCCTTTTTTGAAATAATTTTACTACAGACGTAACACTAGAAATTGTAAATGAACCAAGATCTAGGATAAGTCACTTCTACCCTATCGTCATCCTTTCATGTACGTATTTTAAAGTCCCTACAGAACATACACTGAATTAAGAATTAGGGAAGATTACACTTTCATCAATGCAAATAAAAAGAGCACAATCTCTTACAGCACTTTAAAAAGCAGTGAATCCCACAAGGATAAAAATGATTAAGACTGTGCTTAGTAATCCTCACGCAGAGTATTAAGTAGGATTTCCCCATACACTTGCCCGTGGACATTAAAAAATTGTCTTTTTTTTTTTCACGCTGGTGATAGAATATCTTTGGCTAAGTTGTTTCCCCTAAAGTCTTGACAATTATTCATCCCCATGACAGCAAACATGTAATCAGCAGGGACACCACGTGGGGCAAAAGAAAGAAAGGGTACCACAAAATACTGTGTTTCTCCATGGAGATCTCACAGTGAGCAGGGGAGAGAGATAGAACAGGAATTCTGAGATTGTGGAGCCTGGGTCTCTTCACATGTGCTTGAAAGAGAATATGCTTTCCCTCCATCTGCCACTACTTTCTAGACACTGAGAACAGGAAAGAGAAAGCTGTCTTCCTAGTGGCAGGCTGGCTCTGCTCACTGGAGTCTGGACGGTTGAAGTCCTCATAGGTACCTTGCTTCCAGCTTAAAGGCGGCCGGTGTGGGAGGTGAGAAGGGCCAGAGACCAGAGGAGTGCTCTCAGTCTCTGCCATCCTCAGGGCATTGCTCTAGTTCTTGGAGGAACCTGTGTTCCTGCAAACAAAGAGAGCATGCCATTAGGACACTTAATATTCTGTATTAATAGCAACAACAAAATTCACTGTATACCACAGACCACTGTGTTCACTATTACGGGGGCATCCACATATGAACATCAAAGCCCTACTCAGTGAGGACAGCGAAACTATTCTATATGATACTCTAATGGTGGATGTAAGTCATTATACACTTGTCAAAACCTGTAAAATATGCAAAGCCAAGAGGAAACCCTAATGCAAACTGTGAATTTTAGCCAATAATAAGGTATCAATATTGGCCCATCAATTGTAACAAAATGCCACACTAATACAAGATGTTAATAACAGAGGAATTTGGAGGGTAAAGGAATCTGTTGGAATTCTAGTTTCAGCTCACTTTTTCTGTAAACCTAAAGCTGCCTTAGAAAAAAAAGTCTATTAATTTACAAAATCTGCTCGGTGTGGGGATTTGACCCTTCAAACTTCTCACAAAGCAGAGCACAGATTCTAGAACTCAACTGCCTAGGTTTGAATTCTGACTGTGCCACTCACTAGCTTTGAGATCTTAGGCAAGTTATTTAAGTTGTCTGTGTCTCGTGTTCTTCATCTGTGTAACAGGAAATATAGCAACAACTCTCTATCTCCTAGAATTCCTAACTTAGAACACTTCCTGGAAGATAGTAAGTGCCACATAAGGGGTCGCTATCATCATCATCATTATTAACTTTCACTAGTGAAATGATGCAATAAAGCCCAGATCCTTGTTCCTTTCCTTCCACAAAGATATGAAACAGCTTTCCATCCAACACTGTGAAGCTGGCGATTTTCCCCCCAGAAACTGGCCGTTTCGGGGGATACGCTCTCTCAAAATCATATGTGGTTTTTTGTCAAGTCTTACCTGATTCCTTTGGACTTAGATGAGCTCAGAAGGCATCTGGTAGGATCCATCTGATTGGAGGCTTTGGCAGCTGCTGTGAATACATGAGAACATAAGTAAAGCACCGTTTTCCACCACGAACAGGGAAAAGTGTATTGAATGTTTCAGGGCATGCTTTGGACAAGAATGCAACTTACCTGGCAGGAACAAATTTCTTTGCTGCAAGAAAAAGAAAACTGTTAAGTTTTTTGGACTAAAAGACTCTTAAGGACATATTAAATTCAGAAGCAATATGACTCTATTCTCCAGGGATTGCAAACCCAATGCCTTCAGGGTAATCATCAGAGTGCAAACACAGCTTGGTGGCAACCAGCGTGAAATACACACTCATCATAGGGGCCCAGCTACTTCTTCATGCTAGCAAATAGCTGCTGGCTCAGCTTGCCAAGCTCATCTGCCAGTTTTTCAGGAGAAACCTCAAATCTAGATTTTACGTGAAATTTCCTATTTTATAAATGTCAGAACTTAATTTTTAAAAAAAAAAAAAAAAAAGCTAAATATTCTGTAGGGCCAAACAAATCGTGAGTGTGGCTAGACCTGTTGGCATATTCCCCAGGAGATACTCCCACATTGAAGCCTGAATTCCAAATAGATGTTTTGGAACCGTTTTAGCCATTTCCTGGGAGCTCACTGCACCGAACTGGACGGAACCACAGAATTGTATGTGAATGGCACCCCCTGGAGGTGTATGCTGTTAAGTAACATTTTTATTCCCTAAAACTCCTCCCACTTCGAGTTGTACTATAAACTCTTTTCCTAGGACCACAGCTCAATTATACTGCAGTTTATTAGTGTTTAATAACTAGAGTCTAATTACTGCTGAAATGTGCAAGAGAGAGGTGACCTGGGTGGCTCAGTCGGTTAAATGTCTGACTCTTGATTGCGGCTCAGGTCATGATCTCACAGTTTGTGAGTTCGAGCCCTACACTGGGCTCCACGCTTGGGTTTCTCTCTCCCTCTCGCTCTCTCTCTGCTCTCCCGACCCCACTTGCGCCTTCTGTCTCTCTCAAAATACATAAGTAAACGTTAAAAATATTTAAGAATGTGCAAGAGAGAACATGACTCCTCAATGAAGAGAAACATACATTTTTCAAAAACATTTTCGGAGTACATTCCCAGGTCCCTTACCTCTCTTGCGCAGGCGTTTCAGAAGCCAGAGGACTAACGACGTCACGGTCACGAGGGAGGCCCCGGCGGCGGCGGCGGCGGCGGCGAGCTCGGCAGCCACGGGAACGCGGGCCTCGGGGGCGGCTGGAGACAGAGGGAAGCACTGTCACCGGGAGGAACCGAATGTGTGGTCTTTCCGTGCCCTCTTCTTGGCACACGGATTGCGCACGAGGAAGAGACACGGTGCTAAAGGCCTCAGAGATTGGCCCAAACCACCTGCACAAGCCTGTCCGGGGCCCAGGCCAGGAGCGCCCTCACCCGCCAGGCCTGAAGGGGGGAACGCACTGCGCCCCCGGCCCTACTGCGCACGCGCGCTCTTCTCCCACCTTGGTCTCCTTTCCCCCTACTTTCCCCTCTGGCTCCTCTTTTCCCACTTGGCAGAATTCTACCCGTTCCATCCATGTGTCACCTCTTCGCTTTTCCCTCTATGCCCATAAAATTAAACATTCACCAGCTTTTTCACCTTGGCAACCTCTCTGGTTTGAACATAATGAATGGTCCATTACTTTCCCCTTCTTCTATCTAGTCCCCCAGACAACCACCACCAATCAATGCCTCACCTTCGCAGGTGGGCGGCATCCCAGACCAGTGTCCTGTGGTGTCACACGTCAGGGCTGCAGAGCCATTGAGGGTCCATCCCTCAGGACATGCAAAAGCACACACAGTGCCAAACACAGGCTCCCCGCTGCAGCTCACGTTCATTTTTCCTGACGCTGTCAGTATTGAACATCTTGCCACTGCAAATGATAGGCACATAGGTAGAGGTTAATAAAAATGTACTGTAAAACGCCTAAGCCTGGCTGAAAAGTCATCAATAAACGTAACTTAAAAGCACTGCTTAGTTATCAGCATGTAGGAAATCAGGATCAATCCTATTGATTGAGGGGGTGCACCCCGTGGGTGCAATCTAGGTTCAGATACGTACGAGTATTTGACCTATGCTCCTTAAGGTCCAAATTCAGGCCTACCTTGGCAGGAGGGGACTTCCTGTGTCCACTGTCCCTGAGACGTGCACTCGAGTTGAGCTGACCCTTGTAATTCGAAGCCCTCCTCACAGCTGAAAGCACAGGAGGACTTGTAGGTGAACTCTCCAGGAGGGGAATGGGTACACTTCACAGAGCCATGCTGGGGCTGCCGGACAGCTTTACACTTAACAGCTGGAAGACACGAGCGAGCACATTAGAAGTTTGTATAGGGCAACGACATGTTTCTCATGCAATCACGTCCCTAGCTCTTCAGGAGTTTTTATGTTAAAATAAGAAAACCAAAACCGTACCTTCACACGTGGGCTTCTCACTGTCCCATTCACCTTTGGGGCCACACTGGAGCTTTTTGGATCCCTTCAAGACAAATCCCTGTTCGCAGAAGAACTCACAGCTGGACCCCCTTTGGAAACTTCCAGAAGCACTAGGAAGACAACTCATGTAGCCTCTATCTGGGCGGGACAAGGCTTTGCACTGAAAAGCTGAGACACAAAAATGATGGTCAGAGAATATTGCAGTGGAACTGGAGAGCCCTTGGCCTTTGATGAATGAACCCAGTTCATTGTAGACAAAGCAACACTCAGAGATCTCAAGGCTCTTCATTACTCCCTGGACAACTGGGAAGATGCCTATGTTTTCTTTGAATGCCGACCCCTTTATTGACCATGACACTCAGGAGAGGAAGGCCTTTCACAGAACCAGTCATTCCTGAGCACTGCTCTGACATTCAAAGGAGTTACAGTCAAGGCAAAAAGGTTACGCAGTCAGAAAGCAACATATGGGTCCTGGATGCTTCTAGATGATGCCAAAATGCAAAGAAAGTAAGAAGGCAGTGCATAAAATGTGTGTGCTTTGCAGTTTGATTTGGGTTTTGTGGCTTCTTGCCATTGGAAATCATTCTGTGCTATATTTGGCTGCAAGAATACCAGTGGTCCACAGCGAAAACTGCTTGTTTTCAATATTGTTGCTCTTGCTTTAAAGTGGATTAAATATTAGTGCTTGTCTGTGTATTAAGGGTGTCTCTATATATGACACAGCCCTTGCCACATTCTCATCACTGCTAGTTATGAGCAATTTCAGAAGTATTATAAGAGTTTTAGAATCAAGTCATGTTCTCGTAATCCTACTTTTCAAATTTTCTCATGTGATTTCCCCTTAGGTTAAGATTTCCACCTACTTCATGCCAATGCTTCTACAAACTTGTATTAGCACAGGATAGGCAAAAAACAAAAAACAAAAAACAGCAAAGCATCCACCCTCAGTACATGCAATCCTTTCCCTGGATAAGCACTGGTTCTTTTATTTGAAACTCAAAAATACAAGATGAATGTTGTCCATCAAATCTAATCACTCTAGTTAAAGTAGGCATCTGGTATCATTTGAGCTGGCCAGGTTTGAAGGCTGCTGCCCTTTAAGAAAGGGAGTGTGTGAAGGAGAGGCTCTCTCTGGCTTACCTTCACAAACTGGGACTTGTTGACTCCATTGCCCTTGTGCAGTACATTCAAGCTGGGCTGGCCCCTGCATCACGAAACCTTCCTCACAGGTGAAATTGCAGGAGGACCTGAAGGCGAACTCCCCGGTGGGGGCGTGGCTACAGCTCACAGATCCATGCTGAAGATGGCGGATGGCCCCACATGTCACAGCTAAAACATATGTACCCATGCACATTAGCAGGTCTGGCCTGACCATTTGCAAGTATAGGTTGAGAAAAAGAATGTTTATAGTGAATCTTGATGTGGGACAACTCTACCTTTGCACGTTGGCTTCTCATTGTCCCATTTCCCGGATGAGGTACACTGGAGGTGCTGGGATCCCATTAGTTCAAATCCTTCTTCACACTCAAAGGCACAAGTTTTGTTCCATGGGAAGTTTTCAGAGCTTTGGGAACAGTTCATGACTCCATTGGCTGGATTTGTCAGAGCATCGCATTCAACCACTGGGGATTTGAAAGAGCACCATGAATTGTACAAATATGTTCACTTGCTATTGAATTAGAGTTTATATCAGGGCAAGGAAGCAGCCTTCAAACAGCAGATCCCAAAGTCCTAAGATAATTCTTGAGGACATGCATGCACCCAATAAAACTTTTCTGCTTTTTTATTATTACTTTCATCTTTGCTGACTGATTTATACTTTGACTATGCTGAGTGGTCTCTGATCTACTTTATGATGTCTCCGATCTATGTAATGTAAGGTGAAAACAAAGAAAAAAAAAACAGTTTCTAGATCATGATTTATGTCTTGTTGTGTGATAACAAAAATACTGAAATACACAGGAAATTCATTTATGTCAGCCCAGCAGGACCTGGAAGCAAAAAGCTTCCATCTCTGGCCTAGAAAGATAAGACTGAGAGAGAGGGGTGCCTGGGTGGCTTAGTTAAGCCTCCGGCTCTTGATTTCAGCACAGGTCATGATCCCAGGGTCCTGAGATTGAGCCCTACACTGGACTCTGTGCTGGGCATGGATACTTGTTAAGATTCTATGTCTCTCTCTTAAAAAACATTTAAAGACTGAGAGAAAAATAGATATGGGGACTGCTTGACCACCATGGTCTTAGATCCACCTACTGCATGAGAGAGATTAAGCAGGAGAAGTTAAATCATTAAGATTTCTCAAGTGGGTTCCACTATTATGGGCACTCTCTTACAAATCCCTAGAGCCTCAGAAGTGTCCATTTCAAACATGGATTATGAACTTCTCTCAAATCAAGCAGGCACCCTATTGGTCATGCATATTAGCTAAGAGAAGTCTTACTGAAAACAACAAAAAGAACTTTCCCTAGAGTTTTGAAAATATTATATGTTGTATTAAAAAAAACCAAGGCAGGAGCGCCTGGGTGGCTTAGTCGGTTAAGCGTCCGACTTTCGCTTAGGTCATGATCTCGCGGTTCATGGGTTCGAGCCCTGCGTCGGGCTCTGTGCTGACTGCCAGCTCAGAGCCTGGAGCCTGTTTCAGAGTCTGTGACTCCCTCTCTCTCTGACCCTCCCCTGCTCATGCTGTCTCTCTCTCTCTCCTAGAAATAAATAAAAAACATTAAAAAAAATTAAAAAAAAAAAAAAACCAAGGCAATGAAGGATTAATTTGAGAATGTTCTGTGCATTCAGAGAGAGATTTACCATTGCAGACAGGAGTAGGGGCACTCCATTCTCCCGTGGAAGTGCACTGCATGGCCTCTGTGCTGCTTGGGACATAGCCCTCTTCACAGTTGACAGAGCAGAAAGAATGGTAGCTGAAGACCCCCAGAGGGTGCGTGCAACCCAGGCTTCCATGCTTGGGGGCTTCCAGCGCTTGACAGGTCACCACTGAAAGGAGAAACCACATCAGTTCTGCTCCCCATCATCCTGCATAAAGTGAGAAACCCCTGGAAGCTGTAACTACTGTTTATGCTTCCTAAGAGCCAAGAACTATGGATTCATTCCCATCAGCCTCATCACTGAAGCTGCTACTGTTATTACCCTCCTTTTGCAATGACAAAGCTGAGACTCAGGGAGTTTTAACTACCTGTTCCAGGTGCCATAAGGCATAGTGGTAAATCTGGGGCTTTGAAACTGATTGGGGGTGGGGTCTGACTCTGACTTCATGGACTTGGCAATTAACTGCTAAGTGATACTACATGCCCAGGGGAAGGGAAGACATGCAGACCTGACACCAGAGCCAGCTGGTATGCAGGATGGTGCTACCAACTCAAGTGAAGGCAAAGGTGAGGTGAGACTTACCTTGCTCACACCTGAGTCCCCCAAAGCCAGGGTAGCACTTGCATGTGTAGTTGTTGACGGTCTCTACACACTCACCATGGCCACTGCAGGATGTAGGGGTACAGGCAGCTGCAGAAAACACAATTCATGAGGAGGACGATCATTACTATGCTTAGAATGCATTCCGTTTGATTTAGGATCAACAGTGTGCAACAGAGATCATTGGCGACATCTCCAATGATGTGGACTGCCAGAGATCTTAACTGAAGTGCTTCACCCAATACCATAGCCAAGTTTTAAGCTCAACTATTTTGGACCTTGATTGCTAATATCCAGATATTGGGGGTATAGCCGTAATTGGCATCAAGAACAAAAAATTCACTTTATCACAAACTTTAAAGATAGTTCTCCTGCAAATAAATGAGTAACTAATCTATGTGTTGTATGTGTGTATACACTAGATATGTACTGACCTATGCATATGCATACATGTATACAGGATGCATACGCTCTTGCCTACGTTCATGAGAAGAAGCAAAAAGATGTAATTTACCAAACAGAATGTTCTAAAACCTTATATTTTATAACATAAAATTACCATAGCAGAGACCAATTTTTGCACACTGTCAACAGCTTGTCAGATGCCCACACCCTTAAACCACCTCCCAGTGCTGCCCGGAGCCCCATACCTGTGTAGCACAAGGCCAGCTTCTTTTTGCTACATCTCTCATCATTCCACTTGCCCGTGTCCTTGTCTCTCTTGATGTAGATCTCCACACAGTCCTCATTGTTTTGCTTATTGTTTGGTTCGCCAGGAGCCCAGTTCTTGGCTTCTTCGGTCAGAGGCTTCTGGGTCCCTATCCAGGTCCAGGTATTGTTGACCTTTCTGATTCCAATCCAGTAGTAAGTTGGTGAATAGCTCAAGACAGAGTTTAGGTATTTAATCTCTTCCTGGTTTTGAATCGCGACCAGATGTGTGTAGTGTTGCTGGCAATAAGCACTAGCTTCGTCAAAAGTCATGACTTCTGTGGAGGCATTGTAAGACCAGGCTCCACTCCCTTTAAACAGGAGAAGCACTAAAGAGGAAAGTGTGAAAGGCATGGAACGTTTAGTCCTGCTCTGGTTTGACTCTTTTAACTGGGATTTCTACTCTTATTTTCATCATAGGGTAGCTTTGGGGATGACTCAAATTTTTTTCATCTTTTCCAAAGTCAGGAAGGGTATACAGATGGAGAAACTACCATTCACTGCATGTATTTTTTGTGACAAATCACCAATGCTCCCCAAACTTGGTGCTTTCCTTGCACTCACCCACCACAATCTACCAGTATATCCAGTACAGTAGAATAAATAATCAGAATAACTAAGCATTATTGAGTACTGGCTATGCACCACCAAGCACTGTCTGAGGCCCTCTCCATGATACTGGATCCTCACAATGCCTCTGGGAAATAGGCCATTTATGATCAACACTTTACACATTGGGAGTCTGAGACACTAAAAGGTAAAGTAAGTTGCCCTTATCCCAGGGCGGAACACACTGGGCAGAGAGGCCAGGAAGGGGCTAAACACCCTACAATGCACAGGCCCCCTACAAGGAGGAATTGCCCTGTCCAAAATGCCAGTAATATCAAGGATGAGAAAACTTGGTCTAATGAATGACATTTACTTACCAAGAGTGAGAGCACGGAGAAGTTGTGAAGCACTCATGACTTCCAGGGTTCCTTTCATCAAAAGATTAGTCTTGAAAGAACTTGCTGGGGGAAAAAGTACAAAATTCATTACAGAAAGAAATTTTAGGTAGCCATTGAGATCATTCTACAATGATGTTTTCAGCAGCAGCAGATTTTAGGTAAAAGATAACAGTGCCCCCATCTTTGTTTCAAAGAAGTTGATGGGAATGAATACATACACAAATTAAGATTTTCATCATTTAGGTGAAAGAGAAAAGCCAGATTGTTACTAAGTCTGACTACAACAAGAACCTGTATAGGCGTTTTATCCAAAGGCTTTCTGCCTGTTCATTTGGATGATCTTGTTTCATGGTTACCATTGTAAACACTTTCTGCACTTACTGTTTTGTGAGGCGGTGGTTTCGGTGTCCACGTCTGACTCCCTGTGTCACTGGCTGCTTCTGTCTTGTGCCCCTTTGTAGTTCTGTGTGAAGTCAGCCAAGAACAGCAGAGCCCTGGTCCTTCATGAGGCCCTTTATAGGAGGCTCGCTTCCTGTGAGTAATAGGAGGATATGTCCAAACCCAGTAAAGAGGAATTCCCCAACAGCATCCAGAAAGTTTCCCGGGAATATCCATAAGGCCCAAAAATTACAGTGATGTCAGAAACCCTGGGCCTCTGAGCTGATTCTCCCCTGCTCATGCCTTTAAAAAAAATTATGTTTCTTTATTTTTGAGAGAGAGAGAGAAGAAAGAGACAGAGAATGAGCAGGGGAGGCGCAGAGAGAGAGGAAGACACGGAATCAAAAGCAGGCTCCAGGCTCTGAGCTGTCAGCACAGAGCCAGATGCAGGGCTCAAACCCATGAACCATGAGATCATGACCTGAGCCAAAGTCGGACACATAACTGACTGAGCCAGCCAGGTGCCCATCATGCCTTTTTATTTTACATGAATCCTATTAATATGGTACAAATGGGGGGGAAGGAATTCTAATATCACAAAATTGATGTCTTTAAAGAGTTTGCTAATCAGCATCTCTCGTGTAATTGTGGTCATAACCAGGATTTCACGAACACAGGCAAACTCAGACTTGGTTTTATGATCTGTGAACTACTATTCTTAATTTTCTCATGTTAGCTGTCAGTAGTGGGCCACCAATGTTTCTCTCTCTCTCTCTCTCTCACCTACCAGTTCAACCCATATTCAGGTACACTGTCTCACAGAGGAACAAGTCACAAGGTATCTGTTAATCCTGATTCTGTACATAGTTATAGCTAAGTTACTAGAAACAATATCTCCCAGGTAAAAGTTTGAAACAATGCCTTGTTTCTTAAAAATAAGATAAATGGGAAACACATTTCAATGTCCATGTCTGGAAAACATTTATTCATGATTTGTTCAGTAAAATAAAAAAAGAAGAAGAAGATGAAAACTATGTGTACTCATATTTAGTTGACTCAAATTAATTTTGTTTAAAACTTTTAAGCTATGGGGGCGCCTGGGTGGCTTAGTCGGTTGAGCGTCTGACTTTCGCTTAGGTCATGATCTCGCGGTTCGTGGGTTCGAGCCCCGCATCGGGCTCTGTGCTGACTGCCAGCTCAGAGGCTGGAGCCTGTTTCAGTCTGTGACTCCTTCTCTCTCTGACCCTCCCCTGCTCACACTGTCTCTCTCTCTCTCTCTCTTAGAAATAAATAAAATATTTAAAAAAAAAAAAAAACTTTTAAGCTATGAATGTGTCAAAAATAACAAAACTACCAAAATGTTAACAGTGGGTATATCTGGATGGCAAGATTGGGGGTAAGTTTTATATTCTTCATGACTATTCTCAACATTTTCCAAGTTTTGCAATGGCTCTCTATTACTTTTATAGTAAATATAACACAGTTTAAAGAATTGTGTGTCCAAACACAATATATATATTTAATATCTTTATTCTGCTCTTTGTATTGACATTTTTCTGGAATGATGAAATATCCCCATCTCTGCATCTTATCTAATTCAAATGCTGAAGGCAGTAAGTGGGGATCATTTTAATTTTTGTGGGAAAACTTGTTGACCTCTACATCCACTTTCTAGAAGATGCTAATTTCAAAGCAAATTCTCTCTGTGGTTTAATTTACATTGAGAGAACTTACGGACAGACAACCTAATATCAGAAGAGGAATTAAGAGAAATACAAAGTGGAATGAATTTGGTAGTAAAGGTAATTTATTCCCAGAGTTCTAATATTCCAAACCTACCTACCCTTACAGTTATCTTTCATTTGCCCAGAATATGCCCCTGAGGTTGGGTCAGCAAACCAGGCACCTGGGTACTGGGGGTTGAGGGGATCTCTTCAGGCTCCAGGGTTGCTCCAGAGGCAGTGAACAGACCCAGCCTGGCTCTCATGAAGAGACCTCATCACAGTGAGGGGCAGGAGTTGGGTGACAGCGACTGTCAGGATCTAACAAGGGCGTCCACTTGCTAGAGATGGCGGATGAGTTGAAGGAGTTGGGGGAGAGTTGAATAGCTGGGGATGCTGGGTATTATCTCCCCCACCTCCACAAATAAACCTAATTTCTCCAAGCAACAGGCTGATTAGAGGTGCCTCTAGGCCCCATCGAGTCTCCCAGGCTCTGGAGATACACACTACTGTCCAGAGACTTCTTGGCTTCAACTCTGGCCTCCTATGACTCCTTTATAGCCTCCACACTGGGGAGACTAAGAGAAGAGGAAAGAAGACAGTGCATACATGAGCACACCGCAGGCTCCACCACCACAGCTATTTCGTCTGTGAGGCACCACACTTCCTGGCTTCTTTATCCCTTTTCCTGGAAGTTGTTTGTCCTTTCCTCTCCAGGCTTCAATGGACTTTACCCACTTCCCTTCTGTGCCCAGACTTGTTCTCATTTTTATGGAGAATAGGCATCCCTGAGGGAGTGAGAGAGAGTCAGATAAATGATTTGGGGGTTCCTAAGGCAAATGTTCCAATGTTATCCAAAGCTACCCTGTACCCTATCAATAGCTGGGGACAAATAAAAACTACATGCAAGAGACTATTGGGCTTAGTGGAAGGCAGGACCAGCCATAACCACATGAGACAAGACCAACTTTCAAGGTGTGAATTTAGCTTTGGCTCCTCACTGCTGAAGGGAACCACTAGGCGTGGGCCGTGCCCTTCCTGACACTCCCGGTTGGTTCCCTCGGGGCTGAGATGTATTGACGAACACTTATCTTTTAAAACCTTGCTAGCTTCTCTTCCCACATTCTACTCTGCTGACACCTGGCTGCTTCCACAGAGGCTAAGGCAAGGAGGGGAAATCCCAATACAGAAATAATTCTATTTACAGAACTTAAATGTGATATTTTTTGCACATCCAAAATTGCTGAATGAAGTTAATATCATGATAGAAAATGGCACTTCTTGTGTGATCAAAACATAAGCCTATTTGATGGAAAATTGGTCTGGCTCCCTCTAAATTTATTCCCCAGGAAGGTACTGTTCACTCAATTGCAATTTGTAGCTATCTTAGAGCATCTGGGTCAGGCAGAAGCCCTGGGTTCTCTCTCTGTCTGAGCTCCCACACTCAGGAGAAGTGTGGGGCTCAGAGACTTCTTTCAGAGGAAGAAGGCTCACTGTGCAGTTTGTTTAAAATGCGTACCTTCAGGTCCAACATTCAGAGACTCTGACTCAGTGGGTCTGGGTGGGACCCAGGAAGCTGCACATTCAATGAACATCTCAGGTGATTCTGATACAATGATGCCCAAACCCCAATACACTTAGAGATATAATGACCTGGCCCACCTAATGTAGGAGAGAATATCAAGAAGACTCTATTGCTCAGTTGTAAGTACTAGAATTTTGACCAAAATGTCACTGTAGCTAAAACACCTTCTCTGCTGGGAGGCTAGAGGCCCTGTTTGTAACAGTGTTGGGCAAAAACGAGAAATATCTAGGATGAGTGGATGCTTGGAATTCTTACATTTGGAAAATTGGTGGGTTTTAACTAAAGAAAGAGAACAGCTGCTAAAGAAATAATATGAGTATATAGATGTTCAGTTAGTCTCCTCTTGTTCAAAAGGACCCTGTAATTGCACTAATTCCCCCTTTGGAACTTCCTACACAATTCTGAGACTTACCATTTTAATGTGTTTCTTTGCTTCCTATTTGGCAGCACCTTATCTTGAGGTTTCCGCTTACTGTTTTGGGATCTAAGAACAAACTAATGGGAATATCTCCAAAATGAGCCAACTCTGGTGAATTCCCAAAGCGGAAAGGAACAAGTGCGGGTGGCCTGGTGAATTGATAGAGCTTTTCCTGAGTGTGGCCAGACTGTTTGCCGACGCTGGCTAACAAACTGAGCAAATGCCCCTGGATTTTAGAAAAGTCCCCTTGTTTTCCTTGGCCACCATGCTGCTTGTTTTGTGACACAGAGGTTTCCTAAAGGACTATTCTTAGCTTTGTGCTCAGTATTTCACATCAGAAAAGATGGGGTCAGGTCACTTTTTGACTAGTAAGAGATTGCTGTTTGATGCTAATTAGCTCTGTGAATTGTAGAAAGCTCTTTGTCTCTTTAAGCCTCGGATTTCCCATGTGAGAACCAAAAGTGTTTGGTTACCATCCCAGCTGGTTATAGTATAACATGTTACAATTTCAATTTAATTAAATTTAAAATTAACATTTAATTTTTCCTCCATTTATTTCACTTAAATTTAAACTCTAAGTCCAAATTTAAATTAACATCCAAATATTCATTATTCTTAGCTAATAATTAACGATACCATCTATAAGGTGCCTACTGAGTACCAAGCACTTTATTCCATACAGATTTCACAAAATAAAAGGCAGGCATTATTAATTTTATTTTACAGAGGTTGAAGCACAGACCCAGAGAAGTTAGATAACATGCCTGCGGGTTTGTTTGTTTTTTTCAGTTACTAAATGGTCAGCAGGGATTCAAATCCGTGATTGTGTTATTCTAAAGACCAAGTCCTTTGTGTTCATTCTGTGCCTGCTCACACTGAAACCCCAGAAGGAAATCTACTTTAGTTTTCACATG